ACACACACACACACACACTTTATCTCTCTCTCTTGCATAGTTATTCTATGATCAGCAGGGAAAAATCTTGCCTTGCATCATGGATGTAGATTTTCCTGGTCGACACTAAACAAAGATCCTGTGCAAGCATACACCATGAAAGTGCCAAACAATGATTTTCAAATTGAAAAGAATCCGTATGGAATGCTGACACTCAAGTATGCTTTTGTCGACAGCAGATATATATTAGTAACTAACCAAAGCTGATTGTTGCTGCAGATTGTTGTTGACACTCCATTGACCATGACTCCTTTAATGTTCACTCCGCCCAGCTCCACCTGGTCACATAAATCAAGACAGCTTAATTCCAGTATCATTCGTGAATCCATTTTTCACCTCCTTCATTTAGTGTCAGGCTGGTCCTCCCTCTCCTCCTCCTCAGGTGCATGTCTCCTGATAGGCTCTGATAATGCTCTCATAAGCCGGAGGTGGGGTCTGTGTAGCCTGCAGACCCCTCACACCATTGTTCCCCCAAAACGACTCAGGTCTAGGTGGGGTGGCAGCTGCCTGGGTCGAGGTGTGAGCCGATCCGGTCGTCGAGGTCAGAGTCGGGGTTCGAGGCAGCGTGGTCTGACTTCCCTCCTCTGCCTCCCTTGCGATTTGGCTGCATTGGAGCAGCGGGTGGAAAGTGGAGGCCCTGAAGCTGGATTTGTGCCCCAGCGGGTCGAAGTGATCCGGGGAGGACGTCTGCCGGTGGAAGCTGAAAGCGGCGCTGACCAAGCTGTTGTTGCTGCGCCGGTCGTAGCTGCTGTTGCGGTTAAAGCCGGGGCGGTTGCGTGAGCTGGTGCGTGATTGACGAGGGGGGCGGCGGGTGATGCTGGCAGAGCCTGCTCTGCGGCGGGACATCCAGGTCAAGATCACGTAAACCAGGGCCCCCAAAACCAGGCCCACCGCCATGGACACGCAGAAGGCTATTATCAGAGGGACTGTGGAGAGAGAAACATGTTCCTGGTATTTCACAAACATCCTCCAAATTCTTTAGTTCTACACATTTTGCTTTACGTCTCTTTCACCCCATTACCTTTACAAGAGGTTAAAAGTAGGTCAGCACATCTAAATGCACTTCAAACTTAATAACAGTAGTTTTTTTTTTATCACTCCTGGGAATGGAAGGAGTTTAAATTAGAATCTATGGCCTCACCAAGATTACAAAAAACATCTGTTTGTTACAAATGGAGTTTTGCCAGCAGTTTCTTATGAGTTGGTGTGTCTTGACAAAGTAATAACAGGCTTTCTTCTTTCAAGTGTACCAGAGCAAGTCCTTCAGAGACAACAAGCTGATTGCATTTCTTTCCCACAAAAAAGGGAACAGACTTCTGCTTATTGCTTCTTGCCTTGGAAGCGGTATTCTCAACATAGGCTAAGACAAATCCTGTTGGACTTGTGCCAGGGAAAATAAATCAATTTCCTTTTCAATACAGTTCACTGTTAAAAAGACTTCACCGGTTTTAGTATCAGGCCACATTTCCACAGCAGCTTCTCTGTGACTCGAGGAAGAGGAAAGCAGACACTGGTCAAAAGTCATCTGGAAATAACATTTAGGAAAAAACACTCAGACAACATAACAGAACCTCGTAGAGTTTGACTGAGCGTTTTTTGGAAATGGAAGAAAAGTTTCTTTGAATATTCTAATTTGTTTGATAAACTGCTTTCTAAAAGGAAGACATACCCTCATATTATATCTATTCCAGGGGTGATTAAAGCATAAATTCCTGTGAGAACATTGGTGCCAATCACAGAGACCACATGAAAAAGACCAGCGAAGAGAGAGAGGAAATTAGAAAAAACTCACCCGCATCAAAAGACTGAAGTATTTCCAGAAAGAGATTTGTGTTGTTCTCGGCCATGACTTAATCTGTTCAGTTAGAGGAGAAGAGAGAGAGAGAGACTCAACTCAGTCTTTATTTGACTCTCTCTTCTTCTTCTGCTCCTTTTCTTCTGTCAACTCTTGCTCCTCTTTCTTTTTTCCCTGTCTTTTTTGCCTGCCCTCCTTCCCGTTCTCTCACTTTCTCCCTCTTTCGTCCCTTGCTCACTTTCCCTGTCAGTATGTCTGTCCCCCTCAGAGAGCGCCTCAGCCCAAGAGGCACTCAGGACTGGCAGCTAACCCTGGCAGCCGTCTTGTTTATGGAAGCGGAAAACTACACTGTCACATTTCCTGCTTTTCTGCTTGAAATTAGCAACAGGAGGGGCTTATCTGTGCAGGACAGAGATCCTGGAGGTTGGGAGACGGGGTGTTGCTATAATCACTTCCTCCCCCATCATTTCCTTCAGGTTGATTAATGTGAAACAGTGTCACCCCAGCGCCACAAGACTCACTTCTTCATCTTTCACCATAGGAAAGTGCACCACACTCACCAATATTTTTATTCCTCATATTTTTTTCTTCCACCACAGAGACCACAGGTGACAGTTTTGCCATCACCCGCTCCAGCAGTTACAAATCTGGGTCTGAAATTGGTGTTGACGTCAAAACCACATCTGGAAATTATGGTGGCAATGCTGTAAGTGCTTTTAATTCTAAGTTGTGCTGATGCAAAAAAAAAAAAAAAGCAACTCTGGAGCATTTCTGAGCATTCCAGATGCCGTTTGTGATTTGCAGCATCTTTGCTAGTAACCTCAGTCTTTCCACATTGTCTGCCAGGTCAGCGGTGCCTGCATGAGACGTCTGGTTGGAGAGATCCAGTAAAAACATTGTTCCTCGATAAGATAAAAAAGCTGCACGTTACTCTTTGAATGCACCAGCATGTTTTACTTTTGAGTGTTTTTCTTTTTCCATCCATGACCAATCAGGATACAGTGAATGAAAATGAAGCTCCTCATGTTTCTCTTTGTTGCTCCCTCACTCAGCGTTGTTTTAATCCCCTCGAGCCAAATCTGCAAGGTCATCAGTGCAGTCACACGAGGAAGGATGCAAGTCTTCTTATTGGTATGTATCTAATGTAGACCAGCCTGTTTGCCCCATCAGCATCAAGTAAGTCATATGGATCCCATTCAGTAAGACGAAGACAGAAACCTTTAATATTTGCCTCTGCTGTAAAACCTGTCCTAAATAACTTGCAAACACCCATTACTGTTTCAGGGGAACTGGAGGTGAACACTGTTCTGTTCTTAAGTGGAGGAGAATTCCTTTGCGCTTGATAGCTTAAACTCTTGGCCTCAAAATTTCAGTTGATATCTTGATAAAGAAATTAGATTTGTGAAAGGACTTAAATAATATAGTCTGCAAAGAACTACACTGTATTATTGCTGTGTTGTGAAAATCATCAAGAACAGTCAGTAGTTTCTAAGTATGCAGGTTTCATAAATCAAAACCTGAACAAGCTCTTGAATAATAGATTTTGCTGTTCTTGGACTGCACTCAATACAATATTATAGAAACAAAATATAATTATATTTTATGCTAAATTCACTAGATCTGGATTTTATTTGGATCTGCAGCTGATTACAAACAATCATAAATATCAGTATCCTAATCATGGCTGATTTTCTTTAATCAAAGTATATGAATTATTCTCTGTGAAATAAATGAAAATGTTTTAAAACACCGGTCAAAAGAAAAATCTTGGCTCCACCCCCTGATCCGGATCCACACCAAATTCTAATGGATTATTTCTCCTTCCACCAAGATTCATTGTAATCCATTCAGTTGTTTTTGTATAAACCTAAAACAAAACTTCTGCTCCATAAAGCTTAGAGTGTGGAGTGTTCCCACGTCTCACCACTAGATGGAGGAATACTCCACCCTTACCGTGCAGCTCCACTTCCTCCCAGTCGTGTAAACACGTGATCTTGACTGTTTCGCACAGTGCAAATGAAAGAAAACATCCATGTCAGGTAATCAGCCTCTATTTTCTCACAGAAATCCTCCACGAGCCAACTTAGCATCTCCTACTCAACATGCAACCGGCTCCTCATGACATGAAATACACTGTCCTTCATATACTGAACCGATAATTATATTATACACATGCACTCCAGCATCCTCCTTACTTGTGGAAAAGATCCCACAGGTTGTGAGATCACAAACATAGTGCAGCTCTAATGGCACAATCACTTAGCCTACACTTTTTGCAGTGGTTGCATTAACCTGTGGCTTTTTTCCAAATGAAAAATGTGTAGTGAGTAAATTCCACATCTTTATAACCTTGGTATACAAACAGGGATTCAGTGTAATTAATTTAGTATCATTTGTAACCATGTTTTCTTCCCTGTGTTCCAGGAAAAACCTGAGTCAGTACAAGATTAAAAAGCTTATTTAGACCGATTCTCTGTGCAGCACATTAAATAGAGTTGCAGAACACTATTTCCTTTTTGGGCATTATGTTGATTTTGACTTGCAGGTCGACAGTGAACTTTCTAATGAGATTTTAGAAAACTGCTGACTGTGTATGACAGAGATTACCACACTGGCGGTCCTGGTCCCAGCTCTGTGCCTGTGCAATGATTAGATAAGAAAACGGATTCTAACAAGGAAGGGTTTGACTACTATAGGAAGATTTCCTATTGACCCACGTGCTTTGTCTCTGCTCCCCTCTCTGCTGCAGCGGTTGCCTCTCTCCCTTTTGCTGAATGTGTTTGGTCCTGAGGGGCTCTGGACGATAGAGGTCACCCCGAGCTGAGCTGCGTGAAAAATGTAGGAATCAGCAGTCAGTCCGTGCTGCGGAGGAGCCGGCCAGTCCAGCTACATCTCTCAATGATTCACTGCACTGGCAAGTCAAACAGCTCAAACACAGAATGGTTTAAATTAATCTACTAGGATGAAGTGATTGTGTTGTTACTGGGAGGGTTAAGGTCAAACTAGCAAGGTTATTGATTTGTCCCCAGGCTTTGCTATAAGATTTGTGAATGCCTGTTATTTGGGTGTATTAGAAATATATTTGTCCAAATTATAGGATATATTATAATTTCTTTATTAACAATGCAAAGAAAAAGTGGTATAGAATATATTTGGTGGTGATACCTTATCATCCTGCTTTTCATGTTCAACAATTCCTCTAAAAAAAGTCTCTACCGTTACCCCTCCCCCATGCCATTTTGACTAGCTGACAGTTTTTTCCCATAAGCAAACATCTTGTTTACTCAGTGGCTGCTGACAAACACACAGCAGAGCTTCAAAACGGTGCCTGGAAACTACAGAGCGGTAAAAATCTGGATTCACAGATGGATTGTCCTCATCCTTCACCTGCTCCCACAGTCACCGTCCTAATAACAGGAATCCATTCCATAAATTAATCTTAGAAGGCCTGTCACAGCTGATTGAATTGAATGTGCGCTACGTCGAAAACCAAAACTGAACCGATCAATGATCATTTATCAACTTTTATACTTTTCGTGCCCGCTCCTCTGCCTCTCACTTTATTGCATGTTGCCGTGCCCTCTCTCAACTGCTCTAAGAGCTCTCCAGAGATGATGATGAAAGGTCTCGTCTAATGGGATTGCACATCGCGATAAGTGCTCCGAGCCGAGTGGTTCATCACACCTCCCTCCTGTATTTCAAAGAGTGGCATTGATCTGCTGTGGAGTAGCTATATCTTGATTTAGAGCCATCTTTGATTATTGATCGTCTAACCATAATCACTATTTTTCATTCCATCTGCAATATTTGAATGTATCATGCAAAGCGATTTTAAAGGAGGAGTTTGTTATTTTTAAACCTTAATATTACATTTTCTTTTCTTCAATACATCAATATCGTCATTACAGGATTCATAATGTGGATTTTTCCTTTTATGTGGCTAAAGAAATACATATTAAGTGAGTCATGTGTTGTTGCTTTAACAGGTTTGCTGCAGCTAATTCTGTTCTTCTTCTCACTTTCTCTCCCACACACACACACACACACACACACCTCTTACAGCGGCAGCAGCAGGCATGAGAAGACACCCTGCACATCATTGGTCCTGATGCCTGAAAGAGATGCAAGAATCCTCGCTTTGGATTGGACAGCAGGTGGCAGTGCACGTAAACTCGGAAGCTGTCTTATCTGTAGAAGTAAAAGGCTCGGGCGAGGGAGGGGACCTCCGAGATGTTCAATACACACACAGACACACACATGCATGCTCTCATACACATACAGTATGCACTTACATCATCACCGGGGGAGGAGCTTCACTGAGTCTGAGGATTGCAGACTGCAACAGGGATGACTTGAGAGGAGAAGCACAGCTACATGGACATGATGCAGCTTGGATGTCCTGCAGTGAGTGTGTGTGAAGACATAAAAACTGCCGCAGCCCTGTCGGAATCCTGAGGAGTTGTGACGTGACTTCGGTGACCTTAGGACGGCGCCATGGCATCACCAAGGCACTATGGACACTCCACTCGGGACATCACCAACGTGATGCAGAAGCTGCAAGGTAGGTGTAAAATGCTTACTCACACTGCTCCGCCTCGGTTTGCAGTGTTTTTTAGAGGTGACCCGGTGCTTGGCATGACACAGCAAAACATGTGAGACTGAAGACACTTGCTGTTGCTGTAAAAAATGCCTTACATGCATCTCATGACCCCACAAGTCTGGGCTGTTGGAATTCAAGTTCATAGGGCTTCACAAATCGGTGGCATGGGAAGGACATAACTGAGAGGGATATGCAATGTCACAGCACGCAGTACACTGGAAGCATTCAGGTTCTTATCAATCATTGCTTTGTCCCACATTCAGTTACTATCAGTGTTTTAGTTTGCTTTACTTTCTGTGGAGTTCTTTCTCCTTTTCATTGAGAGCAGAGGTGGAGGTGAATGCAGCTGCCAGTCTGTGCATGGAATTATGCAGCATGGCAGATATGCAGCCATCAAACGAAGGCTTTTAATGTTAGGTAGGACCAATCAAAGCAAATGGGATTAAACAACCCAGTGTGTGAGAGAGTGTGTTATTGCATTGTTCTTGTGGGTGTTTACTGTCTGTGTTTGTGTGTGCACATGCTTGCTGTGGGCTTGCAGTGTTAATGTGCACATAGACTGCATGTGCATGTGCGTCCTCTAATCGTGGATAGACAGGGAAGCAGACAATAGCAAAACTAATCCCCAGAGGAGCTGACAGGATGAAGTCTATCCCCCCCTCTTAACTCAGCCGTATCACATCCTCATCCTACTGTACTTACAGTGTAACTTATTGTGGCTCAAGTTACAGATGTTATGTTTATTCTTT